GGTCCCTTCCAACCCCTAAAACTCTGTAATTCTGTGACTTCAAAGAATATAGGAAAGATATGAGGTGGCTAACAACAGGAGGAACAGTAAATCAATGTATTCACTCATAGTATATGATGTAGCAAAGAAAGGAGTAAGCCAAGTTAGAAACCAAGTAATCGAGGAAGGAATAAACCAGGTCAATCCAATTCCAATCATATATTAATTGCCAAGAAAAAGCATTGGTGCATATGTAACCCTCTTTCTGTCCTGGTCTCAATTTTCTCCAACCATCACTGGAAACTCTATTTGTTGTGGACAGTCAGGGAGCCCTTCCAATAGCATGAAACCCTTCGTAGTATATCCACTACATAGGTAGGCTTCCCCTGTTCATGGCAAGCAGAGATAGCTTTTATACTATTGACTTTAAAGGCAGGACAGCTGATGTTAATTCTAAAGGTAGGGTGTCTGGTGTTAATTTCCTAATTGGTTTTCACCCAAGGTTGGCCAGGCCTTGAGATAAAACCAAGAGGAAGGTCTCTCCTGCCTGGTTGTGGGCATCATCCATATGTCAACCCTGAATCAGGCCGTGGGACTTGGATCTCGGCGCTTCATGAATCCTACTTTAAGTATGTCCTTTAAATATATGTCCTCATTTTTCTCCTGCCATGCAGAATTATATATTGGTGTGCATGCTCATGCATCACTCCGACAGTACCTCATCATCAATCTTCATTTGGAAATCCTCTTCATTCTCCTCTTCCGGTGCAAAGAAGGATTTCTCCCCATAACCTGCATCCTGCAGGAAAATATTAGGAAAAAATATGAGAATCTAAAATCTTAAAAAGGTTACTGGAGAGAGAACTAGAAATATATTATGAATCCTCTGTAGAGAGCTGCCATGCTGAACAAGGATACTTCCACAAGCAGTTGTTTGCAAGATTCACTTTAACCCACAGTATCACAGATGTCAATCTGACCAGTATTTTGACAAATTCTGTAACTAAACACTGCACTCAACTTTAAAAAAACAAACAAACAACAACAAAAAACCCTCTCTCTCATAGCCACATACTGGTTACCTTCTGATGCAGAGTTCCAAGTAGAAATACAAGCCCTTTCTCGTACCTTCCCTTTGCTACCTCTGAGCATCGCTAACTCAATATCTAAACAGCAGATGGAAAGAATATAATGTCTCTTTTTTAACTCTCTTTTTACACAGTAGAAAACAAGTTACCCAGTAGTGAAGGGCCTATTTTGCCTACTTTATAGCAAAATCATGTTTAGGCAGAAGGCGTTACCTAGCCCTACCCTTCACTTGCTTGTGAGTAACAAGATAACAAGTAAGAGCTGCTTGCCAGTAACTTCTTACAGCCCCAGGAAGCGTTTACCTTCAGTCGCTGCTCAGCTGCAATCATGCTGTAGTAAGCACAGCACTGTTCTGGGGATACCATTGCTCTGATCTCTTCCTCTGTTGGCAATCTGAAATCTGGCTTTAAAACCCACCAATTTGAGTCCATTCCTGAAAAATGCACATATCAAACACTGAATATTTTCTCACAAATATTGTGTGCCATCAAAATCCTAACTGTATTTAAAGATAAGGTACCCTGCTGCAATGCTGGCAAAAGGATTAAATATGACAAACCCGTGACACTTAGCCCTCTAAAAGGTTTTTTTCATTTTGCATTTGTCTACATCAAGGTCCCCAACTCAGCACCTGTTACATCAGCACACTCTCATACATTCATGCTCATTCAATGTATACACTACATTCTAAAAGCATGTAATCTACCTTTCTCTCCCTCACCTCAATGGCTAGCCTAAAAAGTTTTGTATTACCACCTGTTTATCATTCTGCACACACAAAAACTTGGGCTCTCAGAGAATTATTAGACACACGAAGATGGGACAAGCTTTTACTGGCACATAGTCGTTGTGAAACAACACAGCCACCCAGAGAGGGAAGAGAACATACAAGTTACATGTTAAGAACATGTTAGTGTCATACATTGTTACTTCATGAGTAAATCCTTGCCCTAAGGTTTATAAAAAAAAGTCTGCACATTAGTCATTTCTCACCATCAAGCACATCTGCGTCAAAAGAAAGTGCACGTTTATAAAGATCAGAACAAAAACACTTATCAGATTACAGTTCAGATCTTTAAATAGGTGTTTTAAAAAATGGTTTATCGAGAGATGTTCCCTCCTCCTGCTTCTGTTTGAAACTCCAGGAGCAGCAAAGAATGGCTGGCCACCACATAAAGCCTTTAACTACCTGTGCGTTTGAAATCAGCACAAAGTTTTAGCCGCTTTCGGATGCTGCTCTCCGAGTGGGAGGGAAAGGCCTTCTTGATGTCCTCCATGCGAATCCTCCGCGGGCGGTCTCTGCTCTTCCAGAAGAGCCGATAGATAAAAACCTAGCAAACGAGACATTTGGGGTATCTGAAGCAAGAATGCCAGAAACCTGCAAAAACAGTATAAACAATGCTGTTTCTAGTGACCACTTCAGACTTCCTACTTAAGCTTATTGTTTCTCATAAATTTACTTAGTACAAATTTTCTAAGGCATATGTCTGCTCCAGGTTCAGCTATTTTTGAGAATGAGATGTGGAACTTTATCTTGGACTTTTGTATTAACATATTAGAAATGTTAATGCTTTGGCACAGAAATCTGAACTCTGTGAATGGCAGGCATTTTCTTCATCTGCAAATATCTCTTGAGTTATAGTTTTGAATTAAACTGACAGCGCATTATGAGAAATTTTCTCCAAAATCTAAATTTGGGGATATTTACTTGAATGGTCACTGACAGTCCCAAAGCTTAACTGCCTCAAGATCTAGGAAATCAGCAAAGACTCTGATTGTCTAATCAGACACAACTCTAATTCTGTGCTATGTAATAGAACTGTCATAAGGTCCTTTAAAATTGCTTCATAGTAAAACCCACATAACTGCCATTTTATACAGCATAACCATTTCAAAGAATTTCTTCAATTTTCTATGCTTTTATGTCCTCTTATAACCTTTTGTTTTGGCTAATAAAAAGCTTCAATCGTATATTTATCAGACGGGATGCAAATAAACAGAAGCAGCATGCTATAAATTGTTGGTTAAATGACAACCAAAATGATCTGTACAGTTAACATTCAACTCTTACACTCCTCTCACCTCACAACAAAACATCTCTTTTCAAATCAAGGGTGTCCACATGAGGCCTCTGCCTATGCCAGAGACTTTCTCTAAAGGCCACTAAGATTCCCAAACTGTCTTTCATCACATACCTGCAGAAAATCTCTGATATGGGTGTTAGCTCGTTTAGAGTTGGGACCAGGTACTTCATAAAGTGGGCACTCCTGACCAACTACAAAAATATCCACTAACTCTCGAACATAGTAGCCTTGTCGTGTCCGGATAATCAGGAAATCCGTTTCAGGCATTTTATGTAAATAGATAGGAGCCCGGAAAAGGTTGTTTTCAAATGCCTAATAAGATACAGAAATCAAATTTGAAAGTCAGGTTTTGATCAAATGTTCTGTAACTTGATCTACAAAAAAGATTTTTAAAAAAAAAAACAACTATGTCATTCCAATGGTACATCATTTATATCACAATATATGTAGGATGTGTAGTCAGAACAGTCCCTGCTTGTACAGAAAAATAACCAAGGATGAAGTGCAAAAGCATAAGAAAACCTACAACAAATGCAGAAAGAGTCTGAAGGGCTCTTTGGAGTTACTTTTAAGGAGGTACTTTAAAAGGTGACAGAAAGAACACAAATGCAGAAGAACGTCATTACCACAGAAACCAGCCCAGGACACAGGCACATTCAGGTAATGGGAGGTGGCAACAGAAGCAAGCACTGAAAACTTTGCTCTGGAAAGGAGCTTGTAAAAACCTAACCATAAAAGCAGAGAGCAGCAGAGTTCAGCATTTAAAGCTAAGCAAGTTTAAACTAGTATCAAGGAGGCACTAGAGTGAGTGGGACTGGCAAGACCATCTTCTGTAAAGGGTTTTCTCTACCCTTTCTCTATCCACAGGGCTTCCACAAGCCTTACCCACTCCTACTCTCCCACACTACCCTCGTCCACCTTGCAGAGCTTTCCCTAAGATGGCTCTGTCTTCACTTGAAGCTTTCCGTAAGTCCTGCTCTATCCATAATGAAGTCCTCTTAGGCTTAAATAATTAGCATTGTAAAAAACACTTATAAAAGCAGAAGTCTACACACCTGACTAGTAACTGTCATCCAGCATACAACCAGCAGTGCAGTTCACCGGAAGTACACATAAGGTTTTGCTCACACACCCTGGACTGTTATATACCCATGTTTTCTATCACCTCCAACATCTATTTACTGGGGACCCCAACATTCAACCATCTTTGGCCTTCCACTCAGTCTTCACTACCAGTACTTCTCACATCATTATAAAGCAAAGCAGCAATTATACACTTTACGTAATTCCTATCATTCCTACAACAATTTAAAAAAAAAAAAACCAACAGAGGTATTAAAAAAAAGGCAAGCCAAGAACTGCATTGGTAAACAAAGAGACTTAATCTGGAAATTAAACAGACTATCTCGTCTTCTGGGGAGCTGAGCATTATTTGTGATCCAATAAACAGGGGATGAAATGTTCTGCCTATTACTCCATGTTCAATTTTTTTGTCTTCTTATGCTTGTTTTTCTCACCTGCAGTAACTGGCCTGGATGGAGAGAACCCAGAAACGGAGAAGTGTGACAGTAAACAGTCTCTCCATACTTACAATCTGGAGCTCCTGGATCTTTGCCAGGTTTCTGCAACATGCAATGAAGGTACAGTTACTACTTAGTGTGAGGCAGAAGAAAATTACTGTCCCACAGCAAAACCTGCATACTCACTCTTTTGTAGTAATTTTTAATCTTGGTTGCCATGCCAACCTGCATCATTAAAGGAGCATTTTCCTCACTGTATTCAGCAAGGATGAGATCTCCATCCTTGCCAGTTAGGTCCTGTGGTGTGCGCATGAAGAACATCTCACCCCCGCCAGAAGCCTGACGCTCCTGCTCTCTCATCTGTGCCAGCAAAAAGACAATGTTAGGAAAATGGCACATCAAACAGATCTGCTGTGCGAATGGAGCCACAGCAGATATCGGATACAGAGGAGAATAACTGTACCTTGGCTTTCTTTTTTATGTGCTTCAGCAGAGGTTGCACAGCGTGGGGCCCCGGCTGGGACAATGCGCCAAAAGAGTATTTCTTCAGGGGAGGCCGATGAAATTGTCTGAGCTTCATAGGACCCATATGGGTGGGAAAGAACGGCTGGCGAAGTTCCACTGCTGGGATAGAGTGCTAACACAGGAACAAAACGTGTGTTGAGAACAACACACATCATCTCAAAACCCAGATCATCCTCCTACCCTGCTAACCTTTACACAGCATAACCTAGCAATATCTGTTTAAGTTTACCAGCAGTAACACTAGCACATCGAACCACACGTGTTGTCACACATGCTGCCTTCTGACAGAAAGTGCTTCGGTCCATAGGCAGATCTTCCCTTTCTGTACAGAGATTAATTTTACTACTTCAAATGGTACTCAATGAGAGGATTTTTTTTTAACTAGGAGCATAATAGTGGAGCCACTATTTCTATCAGTGGGAGAGAAGCACATTTAGAATTACATTTTTCCCCATTACAGAAGACGCTAGAACCAGATGACGTTTTAGAAAAGATCACTGAATACTACAGTGAAGAAGGAAAAAAATAAACACCTCTTCACATAGAGCTAGTGACCAGTAGTTCAAATGCATTATCATCAAAATTATTTTTGTAATATCCAGATTAAAAATACACACTAGTAGCAGAAGTACAGCCTCACCTCTTCATTATCTGCACCACTTTCCCCTCCTCCCACTACTGCTTCAGACACAAAACAAAAGCATAGCAAGTATGATGCAGCAAGAACCATCACCTAACCCTCAATTTGATGCCCCATCAAGAAAAGTTAGTTCAGCCTCCTTTCTATACATTTTAATTAAACAACATTAAAAATCTCTCTTGAACACTTAATTGACTTGCTCTAATCTAAAATGTGTTTTTCTACAAATCCTAAAATATACTCTTAGCTAGAAACCTCCTACCAAGACACTCTATCCCTCACTCTATAGCAAACACTGTGACTACCTGGATGATGTTGCCTCCAAAGGTTCCTCGAAGACCCTGCTGTTTGGGGTAGTAAAACTCATCATTGGAGAGGTTCCAGGGATCCTTCACCTCTGGCTGAGACATGTTCTAATTAAATTTTAAATGAGAGAGTGGGGTTGGTTGGAAGAGATATTATTAAAAAAAATTTAAAAATCACTCCTATCACATCATTGCCAATATGCAAGGTGCTAAAGCTTATGCTGACCTGCTGTGGTTCCTCCTTGATGACACCTGTTTTTCCCAACAAGATTCTACTTTTCTTCAGAGAAGATTCTTTCTTGTTCTCCTTGGATGGAGAATTCAAAGTCATCTCCTCCTTTTCATCAGGAATTTCTGAAACAGAAAACAATCACACTGTAGGGCATTTGTCCTATGGTTCCTTTTTCAGCACTGAAACCTCCTACTGAGCTATAGTTTGCTTCAGACATCTTAGCCTTTTTGGTGATTTTCTGGGGTTACTATCCTCCTTCTGCATTCCACCCCCTTTTCCTCCATACAGGTTAATATAAAACAAGCTCAAAAAGACAGAAAAGCTCCATGCTTAAATCTCTACCTTACCTTCTTCAGTAGTAAGTAGACTTGAGTGGGATAAGGATTGCTTGGGGTATCCACTGCCTAACATAAAATTTGCTCATAATCTAACTAATGAAAGTACAAGAAATAGCATCTGTTCTGCCCAAGCTATTCTAAAGAAAGTCA